GACTGACTGACTGACTGACTGACTGACTGACTGACTGACTGACTGACTGACTGACTGACTGACTGACTGACTGACTGACTGACTGACTGACTGACTGACTGACTGACTGACTGACTGATTTCTCTTTTCCATTGGATCTTATCAGATCAAAGCAATCTTACAAACGTTTCGAGCAAGTGGGATCATGCTTCTCAACGTGTTAGGAATGCTCTTCATATTTGCCTTCCTTATCGCTGTAACAGGAAAGTAGTCTCCTCCCCCTCCTCCTTCTCTTTCATGCAGCCTCCTCTCCTCCTCTCCTCCTCTCCTCCTCTCCTCCTCTCCTCCTCCTCCTCGCTGCCGCGTGGCCCCCTTTCCTTCTTCGCCTCTCCTCCTCTCCTCCTCTCCTCCTCTTCCCCTCTCCTCCTCTCATGTCTCTTCAGGGGTTCAGCTTTACGGCAATCTCTGCACGAAATCAGACGCGATGCAAGCAGGAATCAGGGGGATGAGATGCAAAGTTTGTCTTTTTCATGAGACTCACCTGATGCTGACTCTGCTCTCAGCTTGTTGATCCGGAAGCTCTTCTAGACGACCAGGTGTCATGTCATGTCATGTCATGTCATGTCATGTCTTGTCTTGTCATGTCTTGTCATGTCTTTTCTTGTCTTGTCTTGTCTTGTCATGTCATGTCATGTCATGTCATGTCATGTCATGTCTTGTCTTGTCTTGTCTTGTCTTGTCTTGTCTTGTCATGTCTTCTTCACCTCACATTGCACTTCTTCATGCAGTTCAACTTCAAGAATCTTCCATCTGGCATGGTGAGCTTCTGCTTCTCAGGGTCATGTTGCCTAACTCGTCTCCTGCTCCTGCTCCTGCTCCTGCTCCTGCTCCTGCTCCTGCTCCTGCTCCTGCTCCTGCTCCTGCTCCTGCTCCTGCTCCTGCTCCTCCTTCAGTTTGTTCTTCTCCAATTCCTCATGGTCAACGGCTGGACCAAGCTTCTCAGCATCTTCACTCTCAGCTCCTTGCCTCGCGCCCCAACGCCCTGGAGGATGCGGTTCCCTTCATCCAACAGGCTCTTGCCCTTGTGAGCCTCCTCTCTTCGAGCTCCACCACCACCACCACCACCACCTCCTCCTCCTCCTCCTCCTCCTCCTCTTGCTTGTGCTGCAGCTGCTGTTCCTCTCCCCTCCTTCCTCTCCTCCACCTCCACCTCTCTCTCCTCCATCCTCCTCCTCCCCCTCTTCCTTCTTCTCCTCTCCCCGCTTCCCCTTTCCTCGTTCTGTTTGTTCACTTGCCTTCTCACTTGCTGCAGCTCAATACCACAGATTCCGTTTCGGCACGAGCTGCTGACGTGGAGTTGCTTCTTGGGAACGCAAGAGCGCTCCTACCCGAGTGCTTGACCGGACAGGTGAAGAGGAGGAGAGGACAATAGAAGGAGGAGAAGAGGACAAGACAAGGAGGAGGAGGAGAGGACAAGACAAGGAGGAGGAGGAGAGGACAAGACAAGGAGGAGGAGGAGAGGACAAGACAAGGAGGAGGAGGAGAGGACAAGACAAGGAAGAGGAGGAGAGGACAAGACAAGGAAGAGGAGGAGAGGACAAGACAAGGAGGAGTGACAGCTTGCGATTAGGAGCTGAACTATCTGGAGGCGAAGTATCTCGTCGACTGCACGAGAGATCAGGCATTCATCTCATCATCAACTTTCACTTCCTCTCCCTCCCTCTTCTCCCTTCTCATCTCTTCCTCTGGCCGTTGTTTCCTGCTCCTGCTCCTGCTCCTGCTCTTGCTCCTCCTTCTCCTTGCTGAGTCTGCGTCAGGTTGGGCCGGGCAACTGCGACAGCACGTGCGGGAACTGGTCGGCGTACTTCCTCCTGCCCTTCTTTCTCTTCATCGGCGTGTACATCATGCTCAACTTGGTGATCTCGGCCCTTCTCCGCAACTACTCGGCCGCCTGCTCCTTCTCCTCCTTCGCCGACCAATACGTCATCTTCGAGCCTATGGGACCCAAGCTCACCAAGCGCCAGCTGCTGCAGGTTGAGGATGGGAGAGAGTGGCAGAGGAGCATGTAGAAGAGGAGGGAAGACCTTAGAGGAGGAGGAGGAGGGGGAGGGGGAGGATGAGGAGGAGAGGGTAAGACAACTGCAGGTGTTGAAGAAGTGGAGGAAGCAAGCACGACTGAGAGACTTGTATGTCAACGAGCTCAAGGAAGCGAGAAGAATGGCGTTAGTCATGCGGTAAGAAGCTCACGGCGATAAGGAGGAAGGAGGAGAAGGGAAGGAGAGAAGGAGGGAAGTGGTGGGGGAAAGAGCAAGTGACAGCAAGTAACGATGTGTCAGTGACCAACTGATCGACGCCATCCAGCAGGGCAGCAGGTGACGTTGGTTGCCTTGCTTCTCCTCTACGCATTGCTCTCCCTGCCTCCTCGTCCTCCTCTTCCTCCCACTCTGCCATCGTCCTTGTCCTTGTTCTTGTCTTCCATTTCCTCAGATTGTCTGATATCTTCTGCATCCTCTTTTGCTTCTTCCATGAATGCTAAGCAGGCAAACTGCTCGTGAACTGCTTGAAGACTTGGGGATGGACAGGTTGTGGGCAGGAGAGGGAAGGGAGGAAGAGGAGGAGGAGGAGGAGCAGCAGCAGCAGCAGGAGGAGGGCGAGGGAGGAGGAGGGAGAGACTGAGATCTTGGCAGGCTGGAGTCGGAGGGAGTGAAGGAGATGCTGCTGGATCTGAGTAAGATGACCCGCGAGATGTCCAAGGAAAGTCAAACAGCTGAAAAGATTTCCGACTTGTTCGCAAGGACATTCGCAAAGTGGCAGGTAGACCGACGATCTCCTTGTTCTTTGATGAAGACGATGACAATGAAGATGATGATGATGATGATGATGATGATGATGATGATGATG